CCGTCTCCGTCGTCTCTGCCGCCGTCTGACTCTGTTCTTCGTCAGGTTCTTACTCTCCCGTCGTCTACTGGTCTTCCGTTACAGCCTGGCTCACCGCTGCCTGCTCCTTCTCCTTACACTGAGCAGACTGGTAGTCCTGCTGAGCGTCGTGAGCCTGTGTCGCGTCCTGTCTCGCCTGCTCGTCCTGGTCGTACCGGTCGTCGTGTTCCTCGTTCGCGTCAGCAGGCTGTCCCCAGCGCACACCTCGTAGTTCGTCGTCCTTCCTCTGCTCTGCAGCCTGTTCCTCTGCCGTCTCCTCCTGCGTCCTCTCTACCTGACGTTCCAGACCCTGAGTCTGACCGGTTTCGTGCTGAGCACCCTACTGTCACGCGTCTGCTAGCCACTGTTGTCACTGACCCGTCGTTTGAGTCTACTGCTGCGTCTGCTCTTGTCGCTGAGCTTATTGACTTTGCTGCTGCCTGTCGTCTAGACTACGCCGCCAGTCTTGTTGCTGAGTCTGCGTCTGTCTGTCCTCCGTCCGTCGGGGGTGAGTGTGCTCTTAGCACGGACGTCCTTGAGGACAGGCAGGAGGAGTTCCAGTGTCTTGCTGCTGCTTTACCTCATCTTGTGTCCTCGCTACTTGCCCCTGAGGGAGACCCGGATGCACCAGACATCCCGACTCCGCGCTCTTACGCAGAGGCGATAGAGAGTCCCTACTCCTCTCAGTGGCAGGCAGCCATGGACGCAGAGATGGCTTCCTGGAAGTCCACAGGCACCTACGTTGACGAGGTTCCCCCACCTGGGGCGAACATCGTCAGTGGCATGTGGATTTTCAGGGTGAAGCGGCCGCCGGGTTCTCCGCCTGTCTTCAAGGCGCGTTACGTGGCTCGAGGCTTCAGTCAGCGAGAGGGAGTTGACTTCTTCCAGACCTTCTCCCCCACCCCGAAGATGACCACTCTTCGGGTGCTGCTGCACGTTGCTGCTCACCGTGACTACGAGCTTCACTCTCTTGACTTCAGCACAGCTTTCCTGCAGGGCAGCCTGCACGAGGAGATTTGGCTGCGCCGCCCCCCGGGCTTCACTGGGTCGTTCCCTCCTGGTACCCAGTGGAGCCTCCGGCGGCCGGTCTATGGTCTCCGCCAGGCGCCACGTGAGTGGCACGACACACTGAGGACTACGCTTGCGGCTCTTGGGTTCGCGCCTTCTACTGCTGACCCGTCGTTGTTTCTGCGCACCGACACTTCACTGCCGCCGTTCTACATCCTCGTGTACGTCGACGACTTGGTTTTTGCCACTGCTGACACTGAGGCTCTCGCCCACGTGAAGTCGGAGCTGCAGAAGAGACACACGTGCACAGACTTGGGTGAGCTGCGCAGCTACCTTGGCTTGCAGATCACCCGAGACAGAGCACGTCGCACCATCACCTTGACTCAGTCACACATGGTGCAGCAGGTCCTTCAGCGCTTCGGCTTCACCTGGTCTTCAGCACAGGCCACTCCTCTGGCTACAGGTCACACGCTCTCAGCTCCACCTTCGGACGAGTCCGTAGAGCCGAGTGGTCCTTACCCAGAGCTAGTCGGCTGCCTCATGTACCTGATGACTTGCACTCGACCTGACCTCGCATACCCTCTTGGTCTCCTCGCTCGCTACGTGGCTCCTGGTCGACACCGACCTGAGCACATGGCTGCTGCTAAGAGGGTACTGCGCTACTTGTGCAGCACATCAGGCATGGGGCTAGTGCTTGGAGGGACGAGCCCAGTTGTCCTCACTGGACACTCAGACGCTTCTTGGGTTGACGACCTGGCTACTCAGCGGTCGTCACAGGGTTACACCTTCAGCCTTGGCTCTGGTTCAGTTTCGTGGCGTTCTACACGCTCGTCTTCAGTTCTCGGCTCCAGTTGTGAGGCTGAGATCTACGCCACCGCCATGGCTGCACAGGAGTTACGCTGGCTCACCTACCTGCTGACTGACTTGGGAGAGCAGCCTCGTTCTCCTCCAGTGCTGTACGTTGACAACAAGGCCGCCATTGCCTTGTGTGAGGAGCACAGACTGGAGCACAGAACGAAGCACATTGCTCTGCGTTACTTCCTGGCTCGAGAGTTGCAGCAGCGAGGCCAGCTTTGTCTTCGTTACGTGGCCACTCGGGCCAACACTGCTGATATATTCACCAAGGCACTTCCGTCTGGTGATCATCAGCGCTTTTGTACTCTGTTAGGCCTTGTGCCTACGCTTCCACACTTGCTGTAGTCTTTGCTTGTACTGTGATCTATATACATATATACCTGCATGCTGGCTCTTGCTAGGTAGCTCGACACTGTACTGTCATTGCTGCATATATATCTCTGCATGTGAACTGGCCTTGTGGCCATTTGCTTGTGCTCAGAATGTGTGGTGACGTTGTGATCCACCCTGAGCTTGTTTTGCTTCTCTTGACTGGTCTTGTGACCCGTTGCTCTCCCCCACTTTGCCTATGGGGGTGTGTTAAATGATATATATGTGTGATATATATTGGTAGGCTGTAGTGGGGTAGATGTTATAGGGGATAACACTTTAGGGTTGTGTTATTTGTACCAAACTCTCGATAGTGAACTCAACCTTGCCTGATTCTCTCGACAGTCCTCGCCGATTATGGCATGAAGTGGGCCATCGCGCTTCGGGTCCGGTACCAAAGGGTGTGGGGCTGCGATGCGCGTTTCAGGCACGTGCAATGTCCAAGTCCTTTTGGACAGAACCCGCTCGCCTGTCCGTTGGGCCTGCACACACAGCGACCATGGGAGAAGAGGTGAACCTTAATGTAAATAAGGTTTCCACAGTGGTCATAGACGACATTGTAGCAACTGCAACGTACCTTCACCATGGCTATGTCATACGTCTTCTTCTTCTCGAGCTGTGGAGCAATGTATTGCAGACGTAGCCTCGCCTCCTCGCTGCCCACGATCTGGCTATTCACAGACCTTTTATTGGACGCCCTGTAAGGGTTTTTAATGTATTCTATGTGCAGGTGCTCGTATAATTGTGCGGAGTAGTGCTCGGGCAACCCTGACCTACGAATTGAGTCTATGTAGTGACTTATGAGGTGCATTTTGATGAAGTTCCAATCAGACGTGTGTGGGAAAGCGGCTTTGAGGTTGTATAACATCCTGCATCAGGGAAAACAACGTGGCCATTAGGTTTGGACAAATCAGGAAACGTACAAAGCAAAATGCACCGTACAACTGACCTGTGTGCCTTCGTCTTGAATTCGATGAGGGTGGTCTCGGTGTGCTCCGATGCTTGCGCGCACTCGAGATACCACTCTATGTACGAGACGAGGGCGTCCATCTGCTCCTGCGTGATAACAACGAAGGGAAGTAACAGAAGGGAAGTATCTGCATAACAGAGCGGTGCTCATAGGCCTGATAGTTTGCACCCTTTTCAAAGTTCTGGCCTGATGGCAACCGCATGTTCCCCCCCCTTATGTTCTTCTTGTAGTACCTAAGAATTCTGTCCAGCTTCCTCCTATCAGCCAAGGGCTTCACATGAACGCGAATGAAGTCCACGATGTGCTCAAAAATGCCCAAATCCGCTTGGTGCATCACATCGGGCAGCACTGCCAGGTACGGGTTCAGAATTGTGTCGGACTCCCACCTCCAACCGCTAAGGAAGCTCTGCACATGTCAAAACCAGCCCAATGGTGTTAGTAACATAAGATGGTATACATATTGTGTAGGACCAAAACCGGAACCATGGCGATCGTTACCTGCACTGGGTGTGTGGACAAGGTTGCTTCCGCATCGGGAGCGACCCGACCTTCCAGAATATCACGCACAATAGTATCTTGCTCGCACGGTGTCCGAGCATCGATACGATCCTGTAGCACTGCCAAATGAGTCTTATCCACCTTGCAAATCGAACAAGGGAACATGGTTCCCAACGACTTCGTGCAAGTGATCTTGCGCGACTCAGGATAGTCCGACACATATGCATACAAATAGGGCCACACGTTGATGCTCTCGCCTGCTGCGTTCTTCATTGTAATGCCGGTGTAGGAGGCCGTCTTGAGCGATTGCAACACGTGTCTCATGATATAGTTATGGACTTGCATTTTGTCCACCACGTTGTACTCGTCAGGAAAATCAGGGAGAAGCACGTGACCATAGGGTTGCCACCTGTCATCCTTATCAATGTTTCCCAGTGTGAGATACACAGGATGCCCCTTTGCTTTCCCTCTATGTTCCATATGCGTTTCATCCCTCGCAAGGATCAAAGCTGCCACCACTCTATTTGGATCCTCCTTGCGCACCATCGTTTGCAACCGCTCCCACCACAGGCCAGTTTCTGGGGTGCTAAACACCCTCACGTTTCCAACGTATTGAGGATCTGCATGAAACACCATCTTAGCGGCAAGCTTAGGGTGCTTTAACAAATCCTGAAGAGCAATCAAAGGATCGCAGTGCCAGAATTCAAGCCACGCTTTGTTTCGCGACCGGATGGTCTTCCGTCGCCATCCGCGGTGGCCATGGGTCGCCTTAGACTCTGCGTACGCCTGAACGTTGCGGTAGGTCTTCCAATCTTGAATTTCAGTGATGGTCTTGCGGAGGATTTCCAGCAATGCGTTGATTTGCTTGATCGAAAGCCGGTTGGAAAGGATCCAATGCGCAAGAGCATCCTTGAGGTTGAACTTGGGCGCCTCTTCCTCTGTCGGTAATGCTTCACCTGCTTGAGATGCTGCCCCCCTGTCCCCAAAAGCACTCGAGGCACCAGCATTACTAGTGGCATTGTCATCATGTTCAAATGGAAGAGCACTATCTACTGAGTCAGTGGATGAAGAATTGTCACTACTACGGTGTGCAGTGTCATCATATGGCATTTCAGGTGCATCGTTACACACATCTGCATCAACACTCGGTCCTACAAAGGACTGCGTAGGCTCCAGCCGGAGTATTGCTCGCGGTATGGGATTCGGAGGGACGAAACTCGATCTTGCACGTTTTGGGGCCTGGAGCTGGTCGCTGCTACTGACGAGGTTGGCAGGGCAGGCGTTACTCTGCATGTGCCGACCCAGCCCTGACCGTGTCTCGAATGAACAAAGCCGGCATCTCGGACATAGGAAGGACATCTGCCAAGCAAGCCGTAAAATAGGGAGCACGTGAGAAGAGGCGTAGGGTGAAAACATAGAATAAATGCAACAGGTCGGAGGACCGGTCCACGAAACAGAGAAGCCTAGCATAGGAGAAGAGGAGAAGTGCGGAAACTGTGAAAATACTAAAGGGGACGAGCGTCCGGGAGAGGAAAGGCGCACGGGCAGAGAGAAACATAGGGAAATGAGATAGAAAGCGCACGGGAGGAGGGAAACAGAGGGGAATGAGAGCATATGCGCACGGGAGGAGAGAACAGAGGGGGTTTGACAGAGAATGCGCACGGGATGAGTGAACCAGAGAATGTTGAGAGAGACGGGGCTCGGGCGGAAGAAAACAGAGGGGAATGAGAGAGGAGGCGCACGGGAGGAGCAAAACAGAGGGGAATGAGAGAGGAGGCGCACGGGAGGAGCAAAACAGAGGGGAATGAGAGAGGAGGCGCACGAGAGGAGCAAAACAGAGGGGATTGAGAGAGGAGGCGCACGGGAGGAGCAAAACAGAGGGGATTGAGAGAGGAGGTGCACGGGCGGAGCAAAACAGAGGGGATAGAGAGAGGAGGCGCACGGGAGGAGCAAAACAGAGGGGATTGAGAGAGGAGGCGCACGGGCGGAGCAAAACAGAGGGGATTGAGAGAGGAGGCGCACGGGCGGAGCAAAACAGAGGGGATTGAGAGAGGAGGCGCATGGGTGGAGCAAAACAGAGGGGATTGAGAGAGGAGGAGCACGGGCGGAGCAGCAAGGGAAGAGATAAAATGAGCAAGGGAGGAGAGGAGTAGAGGGGAATGAGAGCATACGCGCACGGGAGGAGAAGAGCAGCAAGGGAAGAGATAAAATGAGCAAGGGAGGAGAGGAGCAGAGGGGAATGAGAGCATACGCGCACGGGAGGAGAGGTAACAGAGGGGAATGAGAGTGAACGGGCACTGGAGAAGATGAGCAGGGGGAATGAAGCGAATTGCGCACGGGAGGAGAGGCGCACAGGGGAACGAGAGAGAAGGCGCACGGAAGAAGTGTGAAAACCGTGAAAACACGGGCACGAGAAGGGAGGAGCAGGCGGAGCACAGTGGGGACGAGCGTACGGGATAGACAAGGCGCAGGAGCTTAGAGAAACATAGGGGAATGAGAAGAAGGCGCAAGGGAGGAGAGGAACAGAGGGGAATGAGAGGGTAGCAGTAGGGGATAAAGAAACAGAGGGGATTGAGATTGCACGTGCTCGGGATGAGAGAAACAGAGGGTTACGAGTTAGAAGCAGCTCGAGAAAAGAGAAGCAAAGGGGAACGAGAGTGTAGGAGCTCGGGATGAGAGAAACAGAGGGGGATGAGACAAGATGCGGCACGGGAGAAGGGAAACAGAGGGGAACGACAGAGAAGGAGCACGGCAGAAGAGAGACAGAGGGGAACGAGAGAGAATGAGCACGGGAGAAGGGAAACAGAGGGGAACGAGATTGTAAGCGCACGTGAGGAGAGGAGCAGAGGAGTACGAGCGAGAATAAGCACTGGAGAAGGGGAAAAGAGGGGAGAGAGAGTGCTCGCGCACGGGGGGAGAGGAGCAGGGTAAATGCGACAAGATGCGATTGGGAGGAGAGGCGAAACGGGGAATGAGAGTGTACGCACGGTAGGACAGTTGCTAGGGATGTGTGAAGGAGGGACATGTGCGACGCCCGGAAGCAAGGAAAGGACGATAGAGGGAAACGAGCGAGGCTCAGAGGCAAGGAACGACCACGAGCAGGAAATGCGCGATGCGCGGAAGCAAGGAAAGGACGAGATAGTGAAACGAGAGAGGTGCGGATGCAATGAACGGACACGAGAAGAAACGAGAGAGAGCATCACGGACTGAAGGAAAGGACGAGAGAGAGAATCGAGCGCGGCGCGGATACAAGAAACGGACACGGGAGGGGAAGTAGCGAGGCGCGGCAGGGAGGGTCGGACCAGAGAGGGGTAGGAACGACGCGCGGATGCAACGAAGAGACAAGAGGCTGATTGGGATGTGGCGCACCAATGACAGCGTCAGGGAGAGACGATACGAGGGAACGAACGAGGCGCGCATTGGAGGAAAGGACGGGGTGGGCACTTGAGGGAAGGACGCGGTGGGCACGGGGGGAAAGGACGGGGTGGGCGGGACGAAGCGAGCACGAGGGAAGCGACGGGAGGGGGAATAGGACGAGGCCGGCAAGGAATGATTCCGCTAGAAGGAAGGAACGCCGACGCGCACCGCGGACATGAGATAGAATGCGACGTGGCGGGAAAGGGAGGTACGGACGAGATTAAAACAACGCGGCGCGCACGGACTGAGAGGAGGGAAGGGAGAATGCGACGAACGCTTCGCGTACGGAGTAAAGGGGCACGGGAGGATTGCAGATTGGCGAAAGGAGAGTCTGGAGACACACCTTAGATTCTCAGCCCTGGGTCGAGCATCCCGCAGAGAAACGCGACACGGATCCACGCTAAACCGCTCCTGAACCGTGGCGAGGAGTAATCTCGTTGCCCGAACGGCGGATGGCCTAGTCCGCTGAGATTGGCGCCAAGAAAATATCGTCGCATAGGTGATCACGGCGACTAACATAGACACTAGCGCGGTTTAACTAGCACAAGGGTCTGACTACTTGGTCTTTTGTGCTCACGCATGTCGAGAGAATTTGCTTGAGGGAGATTCGTGTCTGTGCTGCAGCTAGAATTCCTGATTGATAGCTCAGCTTCCTGATTGACAGATTCATTCACTTCATTCTGGTGGAATGCGATGCCGTGCATACTAAAGCGAAATGATAAGGGTTCTTTACGATTGGGTACGGTTTTGCCTCAGAGGAACGCTGAAGTGGAGCTGGAACGACACCAGCCAATAAGAAACGTCTGGGTGCGTCAGGTTGCCAGTGGGTACAACCAATGGACACGTGTGAAAAACACCATACACTTTCAAAAGTGGCGCGAGTCCGATCTTCCTGACACACGCACCCTCAATTCTGGGTACCTCGATTTGGTGAACTCCCAACAGGACGTAGTAGCATACGATGTTTTAAACAGCTACATTCCCAATATTAAAGCGGCCGTTACCAAGTATATAAATGAGTAAAAATTTTAAACTTTAACGTCTAAATACAATAGACTACCCAATTTTAACAGTTAACAAACGAACATTTCTGAACAATAGCATAAAGAACGACCACTGAAACAGCAATTCTATAAACATTGGAAAAAAAATTAGGTTACATGGAAAAATGAATGAACACTCATCATCTGTTAAATAGAATCACAATGTTACTGTAATTGTAATAGTCACACAACTGTCAACAGAACTAGGCAAGAATGGTGCATTGAATGAAACAGTTGGGTACAAGTAGCTAACCCTAGTTGGGTTTGTACCCTGTATTGGCTACCCCACTACAGCCTACCTACATATAAATAACAACTTAACACACCCCCATAGGCAAAGTGGGGGAGAGCAAAGGGTCACAAGACCAGTCCAGCAAAGCAAAAACAAGCCCAGGGTGGATCACAACGTCACCACACTCCGAGCACAAACAAAGGGCCACAAGGCCAGTTCACATGTAGTGCTAGATATAGAACAGGACAAGCAGCAAGACAAATATAAAGTACAGTACAAAGAATGTCAAGCAGTGAGCAAGTGAGGAAACGTGGACACAAGGCCTAAAGAAGTACAGTGCCGCTGATGATCACTAGGCGGGAGCGCCTTGGTGAAGATATCAGCAGTGTTGGCCTTCGAGTCCACGTACACAAGCCGAAGCTGACCGCGCTGCTGAAGCTCTCGAGCAAGAAAGTAGCGAAGAGCAATGTGCTTCGTCCTGTGCTCCAGTCTGTGCTCCTGACACAAGGCAAGAGCCGCCTTGTTGTCACCGTACAGAACTGGAGGAGAACTAGGCCGCTCTCCCAAGTCAGTCAGCAGGTAGGTGAGCCAGCGTAACTCCTGTGCAGCCATGGCTGTGGCGTAGATCTCAGCCTCACAACTAGAGCCGAGAACAGAAGAAGAGCGGGTGGACCGCCACGAGACAGAACCAGAGCCAAGGCTGAAGGTGTAACCCTGTAACGACCGCTGCGTAGCCAGGTCGTCCACCCAAGAAGCGTCCGAGTGACCAGTGAGGACAACTCTGTCGCGTCCTCCAAGCACCAGCCCCATGCCTGATGTACTGCACAAGTAACGCAGCACCCTCTTAGCAGCCTCCCAGTGCTCTCGCCTGTGTCTCCCAGGCGCAACGTAACGAGCAAGGATGCTAAGTGGGTACGCGAGGTCAGGTCGCGTGCAAGTCATCAGGTACATGAGGCAGCCTACAAGCTCTGGGTACGGGCCACTCGGCTCTACGGACTCGTCCGAAGGTGGAGCTGAGAGCGAGTGGCTGGTAGCCAGAGGTGTGGCCTGTGGTGAGGAGAACTGGAAGCCGAAGCGTTGAAGGACCTGCTGCACCATGTGTGACTGAGTCAGGGTGATGGTGCGGCGAGCTCTGTCCCGGGTGATCTGCAAGCCAAGGTAGCTACGCAGTTCACCCAGGTCAGTGCAGGTGTGTCTCTTCTGCAGCTCCGACTTCACACGAGCGAGTGCCTCAGTGTCAGCAGTAGCAAAGACCAAGTCGTCGACGTACACGAGAATGTAGAACGGCGGCAGCGACGTGTCTGTGCGCAGAAACAGCGACGGGTCAGCAGTAGACGGCGCGAACCCAAGAGCCGCAAGTGTAGTCCTCAGTGTGTCGTGCCACTCACGTGGCGCCTGGCGGAGACCGTAGACTGGCCGGCGGAGGCTCCACTGGGTACCAGGAGGAAACGACCCAGTAAAGCCAGGTGGGCGGCGCAGCCAGATCTCCTCGTGCAGGTTGCCCTGCAAGAACGCTGTGCTGAAGTCAAGAGAGTGAAGCTCGTAGTCACGCTGAGCAGCAACGTGCAGCAGAACCCGAAGAGTGGTCATCTTCGGGGTGGGGGAGAAGGTCTGGAAGAAGTCGACCCCCTGACGCTGACTGAAGCCTCTAGCAACGTAACGAGCCTTGAAGACAGGCGGAGAACCTGGCGGCCGCTTCACCCTGAAAATCCACATGCCATCGACGATGTTCGCCCCAGGAGGGGAAACCTCGTCGACGTAGGTGCCTGTGGACTTCCAGGATGCCATCTCTGCGTCCATGGCTGTCTGCCACTGAGAGGAGTAGGGACCCGAGATCGCCTCTGCGTAAGTGCGCGGAGTGGGGATGTCTAGTGCATCCGGGTCTCCCTCAGGGGCAAGCAACCAGGCCACGAGATGAGGTACAGCAGCCGCGAGAGAGTCAAAGTCCTCCTGCCTGTCCTCAAGGACGTCCGTGCCCAGAGCACACTCACCCCCGACGGACGGAGGACAGACAGACTCAGACCCAGCAACAAGACTGGCGGCGTAGTCGAGGCGACAGGCAGCAGCAAAGTCGACAAGCTCAGCGACCAGGGCAGACGCAGCAGAAGACTCAAACGACGGGTCAGTGACAACAGTGGCGAGAAGACGCGTGACAGTAGGGTGGGCAGCACGAACACTGTCAGACTCAGGGTCGGGAACGTCAGGAAGAGAAGACGCAGGAGGAGACGGTAGGGGGACACGCTGTGGACCAGTGGAAGGACGAAGTGCCATAATGTGCGTGCCAGGAACAGGAGGAGGACGCGGACGCGCGACACGACGGCTAGTGGGACCAGTGCGAGCAGCGCGAACAGGCGAGGCAGGACGAGACGCAGGCTCACGACGCTCCGTAAGCGAGTCCGGCTGTGCAGTATAAGGCACAGGAGCAGGGAGGGGGGAGCCAGGCTGAAGGGGAAGGCCAGTGGAAGACGGGAGGGAAAGAACCTGGCGAAGCACCGTGTCAGGCGGCGGCAAAGCCGACGGCGACGGAGGAGCGAAGAACAGGCGCGACGGCGGAGCTCCGCCAGCACCTCCAGCACCCGGAGCACCAGAAGCACCTGGACCAGCACCCTCCGCCGCAGCACCCCCCGAGTCGGCGACGTCAGCACCAGAGGCCCCAGCAGCGTCAGACCTCCCCTCGCCAGCACCTCCAGAACCAGCAGGACCACCGTGTCCAGAACCGTCAGCTCCAGCGTCGTCAGCTCCAGCAGCTCCAGTACCGCCAGGAAGAGCACCCCCAGACGCAGCAACCCCAGGCTCCGTAGGCTCAGCAGCAGCACCCCCAGGCTCAGTACCCTCAGGCGCAGTACCCCCAGGCTCAGCACCCCCAGACTCCGTACACGCAGGCTCAGCACCCCCAGTCGTAGCACCCCCAGGCTCAGCACCCCCAGGCGCCGAACTCCCAGGCACAGTACCCTCAGCTCCAGCACCCGCAGTCCCAGCACTCCCAGGCCCAGCACCCGCAGGCTCAGCACCCCCAGGCTCAAAACTCCCAGCAGGCCCACCCGCAGCAGCACCTGAGTCACCTGTGACCTCGACAGGCTCAGCGACGGGAGGAGGGTCTACCTGAGAGACACCTGAAGGAGCAGGACCCTGAGGGGGAAGGGGGTCTACCGGAGGGGGACCAGGAGCAAGGAAAAGCGGCGGGGGAGGGAGGGGGGCAGTGCGGTAGGGGAAGAGACGGTAAAAAGGGACCGACTCGTCAAAGGTGACGTCCTGAGAGGCGAAGACCCGGCGCGAGGTGGGGTGGTAAAACTGCCAGCCCGGCGCGTCAGGGACAAAGCCAAGGAAGACACA